AAAATCATTGAAAAATAAAAGAATGCTTACTTAAATAAATAATTCCAATTTAATAAATAAGTAGAAATAATAATAATAATAATAATAATAATAATAATAATAACAACAAACAACAGATATAAACAAGTTTGTCACATCGGCACCTATGTGAACAACTCTCTTAAATGACACATAGGATAATTTTTTTAAAAAATAAGATAGTTTTTTTTAATTACAAATTAGATAATTTTAAATTTATTCAAATATCAAAATTATTCAAATTATAATTAAAAATCAGATCAATTTAGAGATATATTTTCTAAAATTAAAAATATGAAATATATATTTTATTTTTTAATAAATAATTTTAGTTGTTTACCAAATAATCTTATTTAAAAAATTATTTAATTATCAAAATCTTTCAAATATGTTTAAAAATTATAAAGGTTAAGTTTATTCAAATCTTTCAACAATCTCTTTATCTTGATTTAAAAAATTATCTTTTTAAAAAATTTACATAAAACATTAAAAATTCAAACAAATTTATGTAAGATTTTGAAAATTCAAAAAATTTTCATCTTAAATCTTTAAATAATAAGATTATCAAAATAATTATATTCATTTGAACTCTAATTATCAAATTTATATTTCAAATAAATGTAAAAAAATTTAATATTATCTTTATCACTTATTATATTTATTTTAAATTTTAAAAAATTAATTTAAAAATTATCTATTTAATCTTAATTGTCACTAAAGAATTCTTTTACAAATTTAAGACTACAAATATAATGTGTTATACATCAACTTTTTTTTTTTATTTTTTCTATAACTTTTTTCTAATGTATATTTTATTATTGTTGCAATTTGTTTTTTTCTTACAACTTTTTTTCAAGATATATTTTATTATTATTATAGTTTCATTCTTATGAAAAATAATATTTTTTAATTTATTTTTTCACATATTTTCTAAAATTTTTCATATTTTGTATAATAATTTAGTCAAAATTACTAAAGTAAAAGTATGTTAATACTTCTTTTATTATTTAATTTATCATTCAATAATATATATTTTTATTTTTTTAAGAAAGATATAATTTATTTTTATTTGATATAATCTTACAGATGTATAAATATTATTGTAAATAAAAATATCCAAAGAAAATACATAATTTTTTTTTGTTTTCAAAAAATTTATTTTTTAATGACAAATCAATATATATAAATTTTATATATGTTATGAGTTTTAAAGATTTGAATATAATTTTAAAAAATAATAATTGATATATATATATTCACATTAAATAAGTAAAATTATTTCGTATATCGCATATGTTATAATTTAATTAATTACAATAAAATTATAAGAGCTTAGATAATTATATTTAAGAGGTTTCCGACAGGAAAGCTAGATTTTTCTGTCTATGGTTGCCATCTCTAGTAACTTTTTTAGAATTATTCACATCAGTTTTTGGCAAAGCAATACAACTCTTTTTCTAAACAAGAGAATAGAATCATTACAATCAGTTGTAAACGCTACAAAATTAGCATTAGTATTGGATAAATATTTAGACTAATGTCAAATAAGGGTTAAACTTATTATTTATTCTAAATTAGAATCTTATCTTTTCAAGATGTGTCAAAAAAGGACTTTTTTCGATGATGATTACATAGGCCGTGAATTTTAACTTACAGTGATAGATGACAACATGGATACCGAACTGGTCATTTCATTTATTCTTTTTTAAATGAAAAAAAAGAAAATTTACTAATAAAAATTTTTACATAAAAATAATTACAAATTTTCAAAACATCTACGTTGAGTGTTTTTTTTTTTTTTTTTTTTAAGAAATGAAGTTTCAAACGCTTTCTTGCAAACAAGAAAATTATTGTAAACTTTCTCTCCTTTGGGGTTTGAAAAAATAAAAAAAAACTTGAAACTTCAGTTTTCAATTTGAGTTACTTCTTTGATTTAGAAGTCTCTTCTCTCTTACTTCTTACAAAAAAAAAAAATTACTAAACCTAACAAAACTTCAAAATTTACAAACTCCATAACTGCTTTCTTGTAATTTAGAACAAATAATAGGTTTAATCTTTATTAATGTAACATTCTAAATGTTTAATCCTAAATTAAACATTTAGTCATTTATAATTAATATATAATTTTTTATATAAAAATTAAAATTAAAATATTTCTTTTTCAAATAAAAAAAGAATTTGATCCTTAATTAATTTTTTTTTTTGTTCAAAGAAGGACAACATCTTATTATATAAAATTTTTAATTAATTTTTTTAAAAGAAGTTTGATCTTTAGTTATTGTGTCAAAAAAGTTGAATACGGAAATTGAACTCTATAATATATTTAATCTAAATGTTTTTTTTTTCTTTCTCAATGATTAAGTTCAATTGTTAAGTGATAGCTATCCAATTCTAGCCAATCACAAGATTGAGATTTATTTTATTTGATCGCCCTTTTTTCAAACTAGTACAAGTTTTAATGCTAAAGAGGGAAAGAATCATGTAATTTCTTACTTTGAAATAAATATCATGTACAACTAACTACCGATATCAAGAACTATAATGTCGCTCTATGTAGCTAAAATTTCATAATCAAAATTTATGGAACCATCAACTACTTACATGTTTCTATTAAAGATATTTTATTATCTTTTTAATATTATTATAATTTTATATACTAAATACACCTTAAAATTATGTTCAAATTTGTAATTGAATTATTTTAAATTAATAGAAGTTTTTTTGTCCATTTGAATTTTGAACTTGAAGTTTGTTTGTGCAAATTCCTTGTTAGCTATGAATTTTATTAATTATACAAAAGAATCCAACTAATAGGAAAGTGTCCCTTCAAATAATTATGCAATTTCATGATTTCTTTGTTCATAGTTTAAAGGGATAAGTGTCAATTATTTACTTGTGGAATTTAAAAATTTTAATGCTATTGTATAAGAATTTTATTTCAATAATATTATAATTATATGAATACATGACATGAATTTGAATTGATTTTGTGAAATTTAAAAATCCAATTATCAGTATATAAAATAATAATCCTTCAATGTTACAAAAATTTATGAAAATGAAGTAGTTTTTCTTTTAGATTTTGTTTTTATTAACTATATTAATCATTCTATATTTAAATTTTGTTGGAATATTATTAAAATAGTAAAAGATAATTGATTAAGAATGATATTTAATCAATAGTTTCAAAAATTAAGTAAATAAAGCTATGATAAAGCTTCAGAAAGGTTTCATAAAAAAAAAAAAAAATTGATTCAAGGCATGAAAGAATCAAATTATAAGATTTTTTTTTTAAAGGAAATTATAAAACTTTTAGCATAGGCAGTCAAATGTCTGTATGTAGGAATTCAAATGCCACAAGATAAATTTGATTTTGTTTCAAGTTTACTCCAGCGCAATCAAGGGTAATTGACTTTCATATCTTGCAAAGGTAGGCAGTCAAATGATTTAACTAAAAAAAATCGATTTGTCAATACTGAAATTATATTATGTTTCAGATTAGCGTTAAAATAATTGAATGTCTTAATAAAAGAAATCGAATGCCTTGATCAAGGAAACATTTTATTACGAAAGTAGTCAAATGCTTTAAATAGGAAGTTGATTTCTCGATTTGAAAATGTGTTTTCGACTTGATATTGACTTCCCTGTAAGATTCTGTTTGGTTTGATAAAGTATTTTTTGTTTTTATTTTTTTAAAATAGTTTTTATTTTTTATAAATTATATTTGATAAACAAAAATAAAAATTATTTTCTAAAAATACAACATTAAGAAAATAAATAAAATATTCAATAATATTACTGTTAATGACATCTAATTATAAATATAATATATTTATTAGTTAATGACATTAAAAGATGTTTAAATATGATAATTTACAAAACACAAGGAAAAAATATAGATTTCTTGTTTTCACAATTGAAAATATTTTTTTTTTATATTTTGATTCATTTATATTTATATTTTTTTATTTTTAATGATTAAATACATTTTCACTAGTATTTTTTATTTTTTAAAAAATAAAAGTAAAAATTACTCTATTTTTGAAACCAAACACTACCTTGATTTTTTGCTGCAATGGTTAGCTTCGTTTCACTTGAGTTTATTTGATTTTGAATCTATTTTTTTATTTTATTTGATTTAATCTGCATATTAAATATTTTAATTCGATTTAAATTAATTTTTAATCATAAAATAAAAAAATATTTGAATTAAATTAAATTAGAATTCTTATTAATTTCATATACATTTTAAATTTTATAAATATAAAATAATTTTATACATAAATATATTTAAACATAAAACACTTAAAAAATAATACAAAAAATTTTATTTTCAAGAATCAATAAATTAAATCAAATCAATAAAATTTAATTTGAATCTGTTTAATCTCAAAAAAATTGATTTAGGTTGGTTTTAAAAAATCTAAAATATGAATTAAAATAACTAAATCAAATGCAATTCAATCTATATGCATTCTGACCTAATTGAAAATGTTAAGTGGGAATTGGATTATCATATTTGTTATTGTTCTTGGTTTTAGGAATGTAAAAATCTTAAAATGCCCCCCGCAAAAATGGTAGTAACAGGTTCCAAAAGTATCCCACCAGACCGCAGCTGAATCCGACGCTTTCACCGATGCAACAACACGTCATTCGTCCCCATCAGCATAAGTACAAAAGTACAAATAATCAGCCGTGTTCACCCTCGTTAATTCTCTACAGAAATTGCAAAATCCTACCAATTATATATCTCCACGCGTATTCTTAAACAAGTCTATGTATGATATGGGGCATTCCGTTTTGATTCTGTGAGATTTTTTTTAAACAACTTGACACCAACAATCCGTGAACCAATAACTCCACGCCACATCATCAGACAGTACCATTGCAAAGTCGTAATAAAACGGAATATAAAGGGTAAAATACAAACCAAAATTATCCCCTTTTTTTTTTTAAAATATAGCAGTAATGGTGTTGTGTCTTGTGTGGGCTATGTGTCAACGGACGCCAAACAATATTCAAATTCTGCAAAATCTTTTATTAAGTTTCTTTTTATAGACAGAAAACAGAGTACCTGACAAACGCTGTTTTTTTTTTTTTTTTTTTTATTTTCATTTTCTTTCAATTATTTTTCTTTCCCTCCAATCATTTTCCTCTCTCTAATAAATTTTCTCTTTCTCTTCAATGTAGTGTTTAATTTTTTTTCTTTTGTTTTGGGTTTTGTTTTTAATCTTCTTAGTTTAGTTCTTTATTATTTTCTTTTCTAGTTTCCCGGCAAAAGAGAAGGAAGTAGAAGAGTATAAGAAAGAAATATCTCTGCTTCTACGAAACTCTCTTTCTTTCACTTTCACTTTCTCTTTCTAATTCCGTTTTTATATATATAATTTTGGGTGATCAAAGACAAAAACTTTATTTGGAATCAGCCCAGTCAAGTTTACTTCTTCAATGGACTCTCTTTAACTACTTTCTCATATACCATTTTCTTGTAAAAGGTATTTTTTGTACTTTCCTATTTATTTTTTTCCTAGGTAATTATTTTTGTGTGTGTGTGTGTGGGAATTGTCTATTTGTTTTGGTATCAATAACTACTAGTGACGAGAAAAACTGAGTGATGCTGAGAGAAATGTTTTTAGAAACTGCTGTAAAGGGCTTAATTTTGTTTCTGAGCTTAGAAATTTGTTGACTTTATTACCAAGTGAAGTTCTTTTTGAGCTGCTGAGTTTTGATTTCTTTTATTTATTTATTTATTATTATTCTTTTTTTTGCGGAAGTGAATTTTCCATTTTCTTTGACATAATTTCCACAATTCTTTTTTTGGGGTGCTGACTTATTGGTGCAATGTTTTACTGTTGATGTTATTTGATCATGATTATCAGCTCTTTAGAGCTTGCACTGTAGATAACCTTTTCTATTTTCTGTTTGATCTTGACAATTTGCTTACTTTATTTGGATTTCTGTTATTTATAGAGAATCATTGCATGATTGACTACACAATAGGGAATTCTAGTTAACCAGAATTTACAATAAAAGTTTTCTGATCAAGTACTGATTGCTATTTTGTAGTTTAATGTTAGCGACATGATTATGAAACTGGGAATCAGAAATTTCATGTGTTTCGGCTTTTGCACAGTATGGTGATTACTAGTTACTTGAATTGCTTTTCAGGAACTGCTTTATGGATTGGAATTCGGTGTGACCTTGAAATTTTCATGAACTCTTTTCAATATGCTATGCTATTCTAGGGTTTCTGCATAATCACTGTTGTATATGCTGAATCAGTCTGCATTATCATATTTTTATAGTTAATATTTGACATTCTTTGTCTACAGAAAGTGATTGAATGGAGCAAAGTTCAAAAGGTTTGATGTCAAGTCAATTTGAAGGTATTACTTCTTTCAGCAACTGGTTGAATCTAAGATACAAATGCTTATGATCTTATTCATCTTTGATTATATATTGTTGCCAGATCTTGATCAGTCATTCATACTTGTATTATAGGTTCATCAAATACTCCTTCTGTCAACATTAGTAGAAAGTGGGAAACTGGTGCATGGGGAATCCCACGTGGAACTGACACATATAATTCATCAAGTGATGCAAGCTTGTTTTCTAGCTCATTACCTGTCCTTCCTCATGAAAAATGTATGTGTCAACTGTTGATATGACAATGTTGTATATTGTGCCATACTTAGAATACGAATGAGGTTTTCTTTTGCTAAAATGCAGTGAACTTTGTTGATGTGGAGCATTCTGGTCATTCTGTCGATGATAACTCACCTCATTTACATAAGCTAGAGCTTGAAAATGAAGGAAAGGACTTACTTGAAGATGTTGAAACAAATGTAATTGGAAATTTACTACCTGATGATGAAGATGAGCTCCTTGCTGGCATAATGGATGACTTTGACTTAAGTGGGTTGCCTAATCAGTTGGAGGACTTGGAAGAATATGATGTCTTTGGTACTGGAGGTGGAATGGAGTTGGATTTTGAACCTGCAGATAGCCTTAATATTGGTATATCGCAGATGAACCTATCTGATGGGATTACTGCAAATGGTATTGGTCTTTTCCCTCTTCCAAATGGTGTGGGAACAGTGGCTGGGGAACATCCATATGGCGAGCACCCTTCAAGAACATTGTTTGTAAGAAATATCAATAGTAATGTTGAAGACTCTGAATTGAGATCTCTCTTTGAGGTATTCTATATTAGTCTGTGTCCTAATTAAATTAACTAGTAATCTGGCTAATAGATCTCTTTGCTAATAATGGTTTTATTTCTTGGTTTTTTAACTAAGAACTATTTTGGTCTTTTTCTTTATTTATGTGCACAGAATGGTTTTCATCTTTATTACACTAGTATAATAATTATTATCTTGAAATTTATATGCTTCTTGCAGCAATATGGAGATATCAGAACTTTGTACACCGCATGCAAGCATAGGGGTTTTGTAATGATTTCATATTATGATATTCGAGCTGCGCGCACTGCTATGCGTGCGTTGCAGAATAAGCCGCTAAGGCGACGAAAACTGGACATTCATTTCTCGATTCCTAAGGTTTGGTGTAGTGTATTTTGTTTTATGTTTGAGTTTCACATTGTTGATCCCATCAACTAGTTTAGAAGCATTTTCTCACTTGTAATAAACCAGGATAACCCATCAGAGAAAGATATAAATCAGGGAACTCTTGTAGTATTCAACTTGGATCCATCAGTATCAAATGATGACCTTCGCCAAATATTTGGGGCTTATGGAGAGGTCAAAGAGGTATTAGTTTTGCATAATTTGTTCCTCGACTGCTTTCAATCGCCATTTTAACATGTGTTCGGCACTTTCTGGTTACTTGTTTGGTTGTGAAAAATGCAGATCAGGGAAACACCACACAAGAGACACCATAAATTCATAGAATTTTATGATGTTAGAGCTGCAGAGGCAGCTCTTAGGGCATTGAATAGGAGTGACATAGCTGGAAAACGCATAAAGCTTGAACCTAGCCGCCCTGGTGGAGCTCGTCGAAAGTAAGTATTAATTTTAACTTCTTTGTGTTTGATGTTGGTACAAGGTCGTCCTTGTCAGATTGTTGCAATCAATGAGATGAAGAAATAATCTCCGATCAGATAAGGGAAGTTAATTGATCCATGAGCAGATTTTCTTGTTACTGCCTTTGATTTCACACACAAGTTCACAAAGCAGTCGTTTGTTCTGATCAAAATAAAATCTTTTTCTTGGAAGAGCGTCACTCTTGCCGTGTCTTTGAATCATAAGGACTGTTGACTGTTAATTTCTTCCAAAACTATAGGTAGTGGAATGCGGAATCATCTGATTTCTTGTAGGTGTTTCTTCAAGATGATCTTTAGCTGTTATAAATCCAGAAACACATGATATGAGCTACTAATTCTATTATGTTGATTTAATCTGGTGGGACAGAAATTTGGAATGAATGTGAAAATATAGAAGTTAGGAGATAAGATACTATCTTTCTGTACAGTTAACAAAAGCCAAAAGTGAATAGGAAAGATGGTGGAAGCATTTTTTTTCTTCTTTTACGTTAGTCATGTATTTATCCTTCTGAAGTTGGCAGAAAAAATAGAAAAGGATTGAAAGCTAGATTCCTAGTTTCTGATATTTTCTACACATTTCTATCTACCAGGCGTGCTTCATATTCCCTTTTATATCTTCCCTTCAAGGAACACGCTGTAACTTCTGAGATAAGAAGAATTGTAATATATATATGTAGCATTTAGCCTTTTTTTCCACTTTAAATCACAGTTCCTTTCTGATTAAAAATTCCGAAATTCAAAATAAGTAGAGTATCATAGATTAGTAACCGGGAACAGGAACTGCCAATTCTTGAACAATTATGGAGAAAGGGGGAGTCATGTGTTGTGACTCTCCTAGAATACTTTCACAAATACACTTAGAATGTTTACTGCTTGTGGCAACTGGACAACATTCGAAATTGATTTTCCTTATTTCAGCTACCTAAATTTGAAGTATACACTTTCTATACTTTATTAACATTCTGCACCAGTTTTCTTTGGTGTCTGAAACTTTTGTGCATATATGTAAATGTTTAAGTCTGCTATAGTTGACCGTCCAAAAAGGAACTCTGCTATCTTTGATGTCTCTTCTTTATTAGCTTGATGCAGCAGCTAAGTCAAGAGCTAGAACAAGATGAAGCTCGAAGTTTTAGACATCATGTAGGTTCTCCGCTTGCAAACTCTCCTCCAGGTAACTATCCTAGATGTTCTTCAATTTATGTGTACTCAACAACTTTTTGCTCAATACAATCAGTTCATTCTGCATCTGCTGAAAATGCATTTTCTATTATTAGCTGAATGATGCACTGCTGTGACAGGTAACTGGGCACAATATGGCAGCCCTGTTGAACAAAATACTTTCCATGCTTTCAGTAAATCTCCGGTTTTGGGATCTTTCAGTCCTGTAAATAACAATAATTTGCCTGGACTAGCTTCAATTCTCCCACATCATGTGCCTAACTCTCCAAAGATTGCACCTATTGGTAAGGACCAAGGGAAGACCAACCATACAAATCCAATTTATACTAATACTGGAACAGTGCAAGGAGCAGCCTTCCAGCATTCTCGATCCTTCTCTGAGCAGAAGGTAAGTGCGAGTCCTGGAAGACTCTCTGCCTTTCCTGAATCTAATTCAAGGTCATCTGGTGTTGGAACATTGACTGGTCCTCAGTTTCTTTGGGGAAGTCCCACTCCGTACTCTGAGCATGCTAGTTCTGCTTGGGCAACATCATCAGTGGCACACCCTTTTTCATCAAGTGGACAAGGTATTCCATACACAAATCGACATGGCTCTTTTCTTGGTTCAAGTAACAACCATCATGTGGGATCTGCCCCTTCTGGTGTGCATATTGATAGGCACTTTAGCTATCTCCCAGAGTCACCTGAAACATCCTTTATGAGCCCTGTTTCTTTTGCTGGTATGGGTTTAAATCGTAACAACGGAAGTTTATTGATGAATATTGGTGCTCGTGGCACTATGGGTGCTGGTGTTGGTCTCCCAGGAAATGTAACAGAAAACGGTTCACCTAGTTTCAGAATGATTTCAATGCCAAGGCGGGGTTCTATTTTCCTTGGGAATGGTTCTTGTCCCGGACAAGGAACAGTTGCCTATGAAGGATTGACTGACCGCAGTCGAAGTCGGCGAGTTGAAAATAATGGAAACCAGATTGATAACAAGCAGCAGTATCAGCTTGATTTAGAAAAAATAATTAATGGAGAAGATATTAGGACCACTTTAATGATTAAAAATATCCCCAACAAGTAAGAAAAAGTTAATGAATGCTGAAGAATTTTAATGTTTTATGTAAAATGCTTTTTTTCTTGATGGTTTCTGCTTTTATTCTATTTCTTTAGGTATACTTCAAAGATGCTACTTGCTGCCATTGATGAAAATCACAGGGGCACTTATGATTTTCTCTACTTGCCAATTGATTTCAAGGTACTTTTGCATGGCGATCTTTGACATGTTTTATGGTTATGTCAAGTTGAAACTGCTGGTGATTATTAATTGACTTATCCGATTGCAGAACAAGTGCAATGTAGGTTATGCCTTCATCAATATGATCTCTCCTTCACATATTATCTCCTTCTACCAGGTTCAACCTTTGGTCCCTTTGTTAAGAGTGTGAAAAGAGTAGTGTATATTATCAATAAATTAGTATTTTTAACATCATAATAAGTTTATTAAAAAAAGCTAAATTAGTTGGTTATTTATATAGAATGGGACTAGGAGTTCTCTTCCTGGTTTTCAAGGTGATCATATACGGCAACTTAGCCATATAAGAGAAAGATCTGAGTTTCATACTTTCATACATGTATCTTCTTGGTGAAGAAAGAAAAGAGTTAATTCCGTGGAAATTTCTGCAGGCATTTAATGGAAAGAAATGGGAGAAGTTCAACAGTGAGAAGGTTGCATCATTGGCCTATGCTCGGATCCAAGGCAAGGCTGCCCTTGTGGCACATTTCCAAAATTCAAGCTTGATGAATGAAGATAAGAGATGCCGGCCAATTCTGTTCCATTCAGAGGGCCAAGAGACTGGTGATCAGGTAATGTATTTCAGTCAAGTTTTTCATAGGAGCTGGAGGGCTTTTACGAGTATTTATTCTTGTTTAACTCAGAAATTCCTTGCCAACAATAGATTAGATATATGAATCCTATTATTGGATTAATTTACGCTAATTCAGTCGGACATAGGCATGTTGGTAGAAATTCAGGCTAGAAAAAGTGTAAAGAAGGAATAAATAATTTTTAAGCTTGCATCTCTATTGTTCTACTTTATGTTTTACCTGCTTGGGAGAAATGGGGTGCCTGAAATCAATTCAAATGGACAACCAAGGAAAAGAGGGGAGGTGGGGTGGTTAGAAATAGGAGAATTTCTCTAACTTATTCCTAATATCTTCTGGGAATCAATGACCAAGGTAAAATACCTAGTAAGTTGTAATTTTAACAAATTGAGAGAAACATGATGTGACTTAGATTTGGGAGAAAACAGTTCAATCATTTTAAAAGTATAAAGCCCTTTCTCTGTTTTGGGTGAGGAATGAATCTGAAACGGCAAAGCAAATGATTAACCTCTGGTTGTGGGCCTATCGGCCCATATCATTATCAACAGTAATGCTGAATTATAAAAAATTGCATTGGTTACAAGTTATTTTAAAAACTGTCTAAAATTCATGAAGATATTTATCGGGGTCATATTTCTGTCAAATTTTTCTGGACACCAGTATAAGACGGTGTGTTTATTTATATGTTTGTGATCTTGCAGGAAAATTTCCTCTCTAGCAATTTGAACATCTGTATTCGTCAACCAGATGGGTCTTATTCTGGGGATGCATTGGAGAGCCCAAAGAGCCTTTTGGATGAGAAGCCAGAGTTGAGTTAACAATACATTTGGAAATCTTACTCTTAGCTTGAGATAAAATGGCTATGAGTTCTAGCAAGTGGATAGGTGTCTTAAATGTATAAAGTTGGAAGAGAAATCAAAGAAGAGATGTATGTTATGCTTGTGTCATATCTGGTGTCTGCTTTTCAGTTACGGACACTCCATGGCAATTCACTAGAGAAGTCAAAATTAAATGAGGCAGAAAGTGTTTTGTTAACATGTAGAGCAAGAAATTGTTATTGAACCAGCGGTTGAAGAATAAGGCAGGGAGCACGCTGCTAAGAATTGAAGTTTCTTTGCAGCTGTGTGCAGTACTCGCCAATCTGTGCATAGGTCTCCTCTGGGGTTTTTGCTTTTTATCATTGACATTTCTTGGCCATTGATGTTGATTTGCACATATGGTTACTTGTACGTAAATTTTTGTCGGAGAATCCAAATTCCAGGGTGCAGGGGTGTTGATAAATTGTGTATAGGAGGGGGACAAAAAGAGCCTATAATCATGGTAAATCTAATATGCACCAGTGTTCTGAACAGGTGTAATAAAACTTGTATTTGTCAATATTTTGTCTGAACAGTTGTTTTAAAATCCTCGTTTTGTCATTGTGTTTGTCCCCGTTACATTTATGCATTTAAATTTGGTGATCAACTAATATAGATTTAACTAAACATTGAAATAGAAGAAGGAATAAACATTGAAATAGGATAAAAGAAGTTGCATTTTTTAAGAATTTGTTAAATATTATCTTTTGAGAATGATTATATGAATTAATTTAATTAAATTTTTAGTTTCTCACTGAATATTATTTAAGAAACTACCACAAGGACAAAAGGGGAGGGCAGAAAACAAGGTGACGTGTATCCAATCATGCATGTGATTAAATACCTAAGGCTTATTTTACTTATCTTCGTTCGGTAAAAAAAATAAGAAAGAGGAGGGAAAAAGAGCAACGGTTAAAATATAATGATTGAGATATTAAATGTCATATATTATTATGAATTTTAATTATTAAATTAAAAACTTTATATTCATCATTCTTTTTATTAGGAGTGTAATAAAATTAAATTGAGATGATATAGTAAAAAGTTTGAGCTTATGTTTGACTTTTAACTCGTGTTTTGATATTTGGTTTGAATTCGATCGAGTTTTATTTTTTTAGTTCGAGCTCAATTTGTTATTAAAATCAAACTACTCGAGTTTATTAAATTAAATTCGATTAATATTTAAAACTAAACTCGATTTTTATATTTGATAAAAGCTTGATACTCGATATCGATATCTTTTACAATTATTTTTTTATCAAACCTAATAAAAAAGGTTTTGAATAATCTCTCGTCATTTTTTAAAAAATGTTTTGAATAATTTCTTACAAAAATTAAATAGGACTATTCAATGTATTTTTGATAAAAAATGTCTTGAATAATCATTTTCAATTTTTATGAAAGGATTATTCAAGGCATTTATGATAAAAAATGTCTTGAATAATTTCTTTCAATTTTTTATTAAAATTATTCAAGACATTTTTGCCTAAAAACGCTTTGAATAATCATTTTATAAAAAATGAATGGGATTATTTTAGGCATTTCTAACAAAAAAATACCTTTAATAATCACTTTCAATTTTTATGAGAAGATAATTCATGGTGTTTTTGACCAAAAAAGCCTTGAATAATCCTATCAAATTTTTTGGAAGGGATTATATATATATATATATATATAATTGGATTGTCCAATACGTTTTTGACCATAAACACATTGAATAATCCCTTACAAAAAATTGAATGAGATTATTTAAGGCATTTATTGAAGGAGATTATTCAATGCGTTTTTGACAAAAAATACTTTGAATAATCCCCTTTAATTTTTTTATTAAGGATTATTCAAGGCGTTTTTGTCCAAAAAATGCCTTGAATAATCCTTTACAAAAAATTAAATCAAAATATTTCACAAAAAAATGGAAGGGGATTACCTTGAATAATCCCCTTCAATTTTTATTAAAAAATTATTTAAGGTGTTTTCTGGTAAAAAACATATAGAATAATCCCCAAAAAAATTGAAAGGGATTATTCAAGGTGTTTTATGCTAGAAACGCTTTAAATAATCATATTCAATTTTTGTAATAGATTATTCAAGATATTTTTATTAGAAAATGCCTTGAATATTCTCATTCAAATATATATAATAGAAAAGCTCAATTAGGCTTGCAAGCTATTCGAGTAAGGTATTAATATGCTCGAATTCGACTCGTTTGATGAGTCGAGTTGCTCGAGCTCGAGTTCGGGTCATAATTATTGAATCAAATTCAAGTTTTAATCAAATCAAATTTGAGTAACTTGTAAATACTAATGTATCATTTACACATCTACTTCTTACTAATCATAGTTAAATCTGACCAAACTAAAAGTCATATAAAAACTTTTGGCTCATAAACAATTATAGAATATATGATTTTTTTTCATTTTTTATTTTAAAAAATATTTTTTATACTTGAAACTATCAAGATTTTAACTATAATCACTAAAATTAATAGTACAATATTCTATCAAAATATCATATGTTGGCAATTTTATGAATCGAACAAGATTTCTACCCAATTTGATCCAATTTTTACCACTACAATTAATCCCAGGCGATAACTATGGATGCTTGTTGCTTCTTTTTCTTTCATTTATGCACCTTTTGTGTGGTTATAAACTCGAACGTATTTATAGTTTTAGATGTTGTCATAATGAAACTACAAATGTCATACTTTTTGTATGAGAATTAAGTAAATGTCAAGCTTTTTCTACTCTATGCTTGTTCATAGGTTTCCAAAACATTTGTTGCTCAAACATCTAAATGCATGCCAGGAGCACTCTTGGAAAATAGAATGTTCATTTCTTTTTCCATAATATTTCCACCAAAATATTTTATACATTTTCATTGGTATACTTTGTACAACCAAAAACATGATTTTAGCAGTAGCTAGGGAAGCAACAACAATTTGAGTGACAATCATGAAACCCCTATTCAGGCTTTTGCAGCTAATTCCAAGCAGTCCACAAGCGAATTGCATCTTTTTTGAAAAAAAGCCATTTAGGCCTCTTTTGAATACTCTGACTTCTCGTTTTGAAAATAATGTGCCTCTTTTCACCGAATTTATAACAGAAAAGTTAAATTCAATAGTTGGTATTTAATGAAGAAAATTTTTTTAAGCTAACAACATTTTAGGCACCTCATCTATATCTGCTTCAAATATGGTTTTGATATCAATTGTTAGGTAAACAGTTTTCAAACAATTCAATCATTTATGCAAACAGAAGCATAATCAAACAACGAAATCATCCATATACTAGAAACAACTTAACATGGTTTGACACAAATTTTTCCTTTCCATGGGCTAGGAAAAAAACAATCATTAATTATAGAGAATTATAAATTTATAATCAAATTAATCACAAACTAATCTCTAAGATCCTAATCTAAACAATCACAAATACTCCCATTTCCAAGAGAATTGCTATATGTGGCTATCGAGATAGCCACAATGATGTATGGATAATGGAGGAATATTGTGTGAAAGAGTTGTGGGTTAAGTTGGTCACAATTCCATCTGTGCAACTATCATGTCCTATCATGTAGAGGCTAAAACCAATTTGTTTTTTTGATGCTGGTGAATTTTTAATGGTTATTCATGATAAACTAATTTTGTTCTGCTCAAAAGATAATATATTTGAAAATCTTGTAATTCATCACATTAGTGACCTTGTTGGTTGTTTTCGAGAGTAAAAAAAATATTGCATCCAATTTAGCACTTATGTGGATAGTTCATATACTCTTAGTGTATAGATGGTAGCCAAAAAAAAAAAATCGATGGCATTCATGATGTATATACTTCTAGTGGACAGTAAAAAAATCACCAAGCTTGTCTATACTATAATAAATTTACTCTCTCTTAGCACGTGCACTATTCCTTACCCTCTTATGCTCTTCCTTAGTCATTGGATTTAGCCAGAATGCAACCTTTGAATATTCCTTATGATAATTAGAGGGACCCTATCATCGTCATCCCCATTGCTGAGCCAACCTCCCTTTGAAACTACTTTATAACTCCTTGAACCCTTATGCTATGTTTGGATAAATATTAATAAAGGAAAGGAAAAGAATGGAAAAGAAAGTTTTTTAAAAGAAAAGAAAAGATATATGTAACCCTTGTTTGGATAATTAAAATTAATAAAGAAAAAGAAATGAAAGGAATTCTAACAACCATTGTTTGGATAAAGAGTGAAAAAGAAAGGAAATGATTCATTATAATAATTTTTTTCAATTATAACATTTCATTGCTTGTGATTTTAGAGCACTCTTGGACTATGGTATATTTGCTATTTTGTATGACCTCACAATTACTGTTATATCAATGATTTTTAATCAAGTAAAATTGGAAGATATTTTACAAACATTCATTGATGAATTTTGAATTAGTCTATCATATTATAAATCTAAAAAATATATATATTAATATTCAACCATTCATCAAAATCAAGTCACCAAAAAATTATAAAAAAATTTTATATTGGAAGAGATATGTGAAACTTACTTGAAAAAAGAGATGACTTTAAAAAAATTATAGATAATTGTGATATGTTTAGGTTTTTTTATTAAGTTTTTAGTATTAATAAAAAAGATGAACATAATAGTCTTTTTATAAAAAAAAATATTTTTCAACTTTCCTTTCTTTAGTTTTTCCTCTAAATTGGGGTATTAAAAAAATCGGGTTTACAAAAAAAACCAAAAGTTTTTGGTTTTCACATTTTTTCCTTTCTTTAAATTAAAAATTTATGCAAACAAAGGAAGAGGGTTTTGTTTCCTTTACATTCTTTTACTTTACTTTACTTTCCTTTCCTTCCTCTGCCCTCAATCCAAACAGACTGTTAGAGTTCACACTAAAAGACATTATAAAAGAAAGAAAAAAATGTATCAAAGTAAGGATAAAGAAAGAAGGTCAGATGAAAGAAAGACAAAATTTAAGGTTGGTAAAAATAAGTTAGCTTGAGAGCAAAAAGATAACAAGTTGAAAAAATAAAAGCCTCAAGAAACCTTCTATATAGCCAATGTTCAGATCAGATGAATGATCCAAATTGTGTCACATGTCTAGATGGCTACAGAGGATGACTTTTTGCCTTTTCATCTTTGAATTTTTACTACCCAAATACCTCTCTCATTAAATGCAATTTTCTAATAGCAGATGAGCAAATTGAAATTTACACCTATCCAAACCGATCAGATCAATTGTGAAACCCATAATAGACCGACCGAATGGATCAGTCTTTAAGTTAACCTTGTACTAGATCTACTAATCAAATTCCAACACCAAGAAAAAAAATAAGTCTCACATTGAATGAATGAATCATATTGGTAATGATTCACAAACTTGCTTAGCTCAAACTTAAGCCACTTAGACACAAGGTTACTCACCTCTACTGTCTAGAACAGACTAGTCAAGTGTATAACTTGAGAGACTAAGCTCAACAACTATGATCACATGACAAGTTGGTGCAATCAAAAGTGGCTACCACTACTCTCAACCTATAATCGATCATAAACTTCCTCCACCCGACTCTCACATTAGCCCTAA